ATGTCAATTTGTCAAAGCTGAGACCCACAAGCCAAAGACTGGCTTCTGAAACTTAGAATCACACAATGGTTTGGGTTGGAAGGGACCTGAAAGCTCATCCTGTCCCAACCTCCTGCCACGGGCAGGGACACCTTTTGCTAGACCAGATTACCAGGAAAAAACTTTCTTTTTCCTGTTTCTTTTTTCATTTCTTTGAGATATTTTGGAACAGTCAAAGACTCTGCATTGATACTTGAAGCACGAAAAACAAAATTTTGCTGTTCCCACTGCAAAAAAACCCCCAAAAACCAAAAAACCCAACAACCCTTTTTGCTAGAATTGTTAATTAATGAGGGAAAAAATAAAGATTAAAAAATGAAAATGAAAAAGGACCAAAAGATAAGAAACACTGACTGGTGTAGAAGAGGGAAACTGGTCATGTAAGAGCTGTGATTCCTGGAGATATTTTGACTTGACTCCCACTCATGGGACTTTAACACTTTCAGGAGTGGGGATGGTCAGCAGCACCTTCCCCACGTCCCCTCACACCCTCAACCTGGTGGTAGATCCATGACTGCTGCTGGTTTGAATAAAGACTTGAAAACTTCTCTCACAGCTTCAGGGTCCACTTTTCCTGCTCTTTCTGTCTTGCAGTGATGAATCAACACAATAACCAGGTATGGAACTGCAGCTCCACAACCCTGGGATCAGCTCTGCTGGGACACGTGTTGGGACCCTGCTGTGAGGGGCACCAAAGGTGAGCCTTGGTCTGACCTGCTCTGGAACCGCTCTGCCACCAGGCATTTGTGTCACCACAATGGAAGGAAGATCTGAAGCCATTAGAGAGTGTCCAAAGGAGGGAAGGAGGATGGGGAAGGGCCTTGATTTGAAGGTGTGTGAGGACACTGAGGGCACTTGGTGTGTTCAGCTGCAGTTCCACCTTCCTGGGCAGGGGCAGAGGAGGGGCAGGGACTGAGCTCTGCTCTGGGGGGACCAGGGACAGCAGCCAGGGAATGGCTGGAGCTGTGCCAGGGCAGGCTCAGGTTGGATCTCAGCAAAAGGTTCTTCCCCCAGAGGCTGGTTGGGCACTGCCCAGGCTCCCCAGGGCAGTGGGCACAGCCCCAAGGCTGCCAGAGCTCCAGGAGGGTTTGGCTGATCCTCTGGGGCACAGGGGGTGACTCTGGGGATGGGCCTGTGCAGGGCCAGGAGTTGGACTGGATGATCCTTGTGGGTCCCTTTCAACTCAGCAGACTCTGGGCTTCTGTGAATCTTCAATCAGATTGTGAACACCACAGTCAGGAAAAGGATTTACCTAAAGGCAGGTCCAAATCCTCCTGGGAACAAAAAGGGTCTTGAGAAAAATATGATACTAAAATCTAAATCTATGTAAAACTTTCTTTAGCCTTCCAAGTTGTCATTTCATTGCTGTCCTACCTCCACAGTGACCCCTTCCCACCAGTCCTGACCAACACTTCAAACTACCTCTTACAGGTGACACTGGAAGCTCAGTGCTGAGTGGTTGAATTGTGCACACACCTGAAGTGAAAGTATCAGACCCAAACTCTGTGCCCTTTTTATGGCCAAAAAATTCTGCTTTCCAGCCCTCCAAGCCTATGAACTGTTTCTAAGGAGATCCAGAGGCTGGACCCGCTATCAAATGGATTTTTGTGGAGCTCAAAGATCAGCCTCCTCTTCAATGCCAACAATTTAGGGGAGAGCAGCTGCTGGGCTTGGGCTGGGTTTGTCTCTGCAGCCCTTGATTAACAAGTTCTCTGTCACACAGCTGCACTTTTGCTCCTATTCTGCAGTTGGAACATCTGTATTTGTAGAGAATAATTTTAACTGTGGGCTTCATTTTCTCCTCATCTGTATCATCCCCAGTGTGGAGGCTGTGACGGGCTCAGCAGAGCTCCAGCTAACACACAGGTACAACTCTGGTGCTGGTCAGGCTCTGCCAGTGTGACTGATGTTCTTCCCATGGAAAAGAATGATTGGGTGGCTTTCTGCTGTTTTCTCTGATAAAATCAATCATTTATAAACATCTCCATTTTCAGAGTGAGCTGAGAAACTTCACAGTTCTCAGGGCAGACATGGATGCTCTTTTCTTTATTTTGCCTCCTCCCATGTCAGGCAACTTGGCTGAGAAGGAACTGGCCCTGGGACAGTAGCCCTTCCCAACGCACAGCAGTGATCCTGCTTCTATATCCAATAAGAACTTCCCAACTGCCTCAATATCCCTTAACAACCAATTCCCACAAACCTAATTCCCCAACTCGTTATTGCACTTGACTCTCATTATTTCTGGTTCCAATCAAGGGCCAGTAATGCAATATGTGTGTAAAAGCCACCAGATGATCCTCTCAAGTGTTTGCATTGGAGAACGTGTGTGAGGTGACAGCACAAAGCCAGTTCAGGGGCTGGAAGAGGAGCTCTGCTCCACATGAGCTGGGCTAGTGTCCAAGGATAGCAAAATGCAGTTGCTTTTTGTCTGCTCAAAAACAAAGGGGAAGCCTGAATAAAACCGCCCTATGGGTGGGACACAGCCTCCAAATAATGAGTTTAATTAATCTGGGTAAAATTACCCTGAGTGCCTCTTGAGATCTGCCCTGTCCTCTCTTTTATTTTCAGTGCAATGATCCACAAATCCTGGGACATTTTTGTAAGTTGAGTTGTCTGTGTCTTCCAGATCTTGTGCAAACAACCTTGAAACTGTTTGCAAGGTATTTGTCATCAAAGGCCTTGCAGGAAAGGTTTTGCCAAATAAACTACCTGTTGGCAAAGACTTGCTATGATCCACCTCTGACTGAGGTGGCAGGAGAATCCTCTGTGGGACCCTTCCCACTGAGTTCCACTGTGATAAGTTTGGATTCAAATTTTACCAGAGGTCATTTTCTCACCCTTGAGAAAATGGTTTATCCAACCTTCTAAAACAGTTTGCTCAGAGGGTGCTTTCCTGCCAGGTGGAAGTCTGCTGGCCATAAAGGAGTTTTGTAGACCAGAGGGGTCTTGTCCGTCAGTGTAGGGGACACATGTCTGGCCCCTCAGGCTGCTCTCCCTCTTTCTCATACTCCGTGAAGCTCCAGGCCTTGGAAGGAGATGGGAACACTCAGTGAGATACAGAGCCAGGCTCTGGAGTTGGGCAGCTTGGCCAGTCTGGGTGCCAATGAAGTGCCATTGCTTTGCTGTCCGTCCCTCCACGAGCCTGATCCAGTCACCAAATGCTGAAACTGGTGCTGCCAGACCCAAACACCTGCTGGTGTGTCCAGGGCTGTCCTGAGATCACCAAGGCATGACCCCAGCTCCCCCTGGGGCCCTCACTGCCTGGATCGCTCAGGAGGCCTGTGACTATAAAAACAAGGCAGAAAGAGCTCTGGGATCTGTCTTGAGTCAGTCCTGCCTGTATCCCATTATTCCAAACCAAGCACAGCAAGAACGGGAATATCTGCATATTTTGTGACCACACCAGAGGAAATGCCAGATGTCTGACTGGCCCTGAAGAGCCCCAGCACTGGCACCAGGCAGCCTGTCCCCATGGCCATGTGTGAGTGCTGGGCTTGTCCCACACAGTTTCCATCAGAACCTGTTGGCAGCTGAGCTCCTCTCCAAGCTCAGGGGGAACCTGCTCTGAGCCACCAGAGACAGTCACATCCGGCAGGTGTTGCTGGAAAAACAGCCAGCTCAGCCTCAACACTGTTCTCTTACAGAAATCTAATTTCTGCAGTTCTTCTGGTTTAATCATAGAATCATAAAATAGTTTGGGTTGAAAGGACCTTAAAGCCTATCCAGTTCCACCCCCTGCCATGGGCAGGGACATCTCCCACTAGCCCAGGTTGCTCCAAGCCCCGTCCAACCTGGCCTTGGACACTTCCAGGGATGAGGCAGCCACAGCTGCTCTGGGCAACCTGTGCCAGGGCCTCCCCACCCTCACAGCCAAGAACTTCTTCCAATTTAACCTTCAGTATCTTACTGATTGCTCTGACCACCAGAGAAGGTGGGAATGGATGAAATAAAGACCCTTCAGTCCCTCAGTGCTCATCTGTTAGCACTGAAACAACACATGGAGGCTGACACTGCTGATGGATCCTCCACAGCATCACACTGTCACTGGAGAAAAGAACCCTTCACTTTGCATTACTGAATGGAATAGGGCTCAAAAAGTGCATATTTCCTTGTTCACCACCTCAAAGCAGATGCCACTATTGCAGCTCTCTGCATGAAAAGCTCTTGAGAAGCTCAGCATTGTTTACCTTAGAGGGAGCTTGCAGAAAAAAAAAGCAAAAATTAAGATCAAAATATCAAAGGCATTTAATTTCAATTGAAACTCAGGCCTGCAGGCTCAGATCAGGGCTCAAAGCTTTGTCTTAATCTAATTTTATGCAGAAAATTCAGTGATAATAGAAGTTTATATAATCCACATCAAGGAAATCAGAGGGGTTCCCAGGACCTATAATGAGAGCTGACATTACTGACTGCACATTACAAACCCAGGCATTCACTAAATAATTGTGGCTCCAGAGAGCACTTGACAGAGACAGAGCTCCCTCCACACCCTCCCAGGCTCTGAAGCATTTTGTTGAGCTGTGATAAGAGCTTCAAACATTCCTCTGGTTTGGGATGCACCAAGGAAGCAGCCCCACTGCAGAGAGGCTCTGCCTTCCCTTCAGTGAGTGGGTCCTCAGCTCACTACAATACAGGGTGGATTTTGAGCAGCAGGCAGAGAACGAGTCCAGCTCTGAAGGACAGAGCCCTTCATGTATTCATGAACCAAATCAAGGCAGAGGGAAGTGCAGCACAACCTCCCTCAGAGGCCTCCCCACAACTGCACACCCCAGAGAGGAAAACCAGACTGACAGTGCCTGGGGAAAGCAATGGATTGCAGCAGGACACAGGGAGAAGGGGCTGCTTTGGGCACACAGGAGACACCCTGGCTCATCTCCCCGAGCCAGGAATGATGTGGCCTCACGAAGGGATCAGCATGGGACAGCCTGGCAGAAGGGCAGGGCTGGCCAACAACCCCCTACCTGAAGGATGACCCAGTGCCCCTCCTTTGCAGCCAGATCCAGAGCTTGTTCAGCAACCACCTCTTGGCCTTGTCCAAGGGACACATTGTGGAGGTTCCTGTTGTTGAATGTAAAGCCAAGTTTCTTCCCTGAAAGAAATCAAGGAGTGAGTTGAGCGCTGTTGCCCGGCAGGGCTGGGCAGAGCTCCCTGGCCCCAAAACCCTCCCAGAAGAGCCCTCACACTCCTGAGAACAGTTCTCTTGTCTCATTCCCTTGGCTCTCACCCACTCCTTGCCCAAGTGCTCAAACAGCAGCAGCTTCTTCCAAACTCTTAATTACAGCACAGCATCAACACGAAGGTACCTTGTTACAAAGTGCTTCTTGTTTTAAGAACATTATTCCCCTGCAACCTGGTGTAAAAACACCTTTCACAGTGATAAGAAATGAACATCTTTTCCTACTGATGAAATGGGCTTTGAACACCCCCAGCTGAGTGGAGAAAGGCCCCTGTGAGGTGGGTTGGGTGCAGCAGGGAGGCTGGGAACACCTTTGGTTTTGAGAAGGCAGGTGCATGAAATCTGTGTGAGCTTCCTGTGACCTCAGGAAAGGCCTCCCAGGTGCCTTGGATATGGAGAACAGTCAGCCCTCTAGATTCCTCATGGAGCATCCTGGGCAGGTGTGTGTGGGAAGGCCTAGGGTCAGTGGAGAGCAGCAAAGTCCATGGGAAGGGGAGGTCCAGGAGACACTCAGACCATTTCCCACTGTCCTTCCTACATCCCTCTGCATGTGCAGGCTGGGAATCCCAAAATCCATGTCATTTACTACCCTGCCCTGGAGGAAGGATCTAGTTATTTAGTGTTTCTTCCTTTAGACTGTGATGATTCTTCAGACTCCTCTGATTTCCCTGTAGCATCCCAGTGCCAGAGATCCTTTCAGTGATCCTGGCTGAAGATCAGGTTGGTTCTGTGTCTATCTGTCACCCAGAGATGGAGGATACCACTTGCTCTTCATCTCACAGGAAAAGCAACTGCCTGGAACCAGCTCTCTCTACTGGGTGTTCCTGAGAAGACAAGTCCAAATTTGTGCTGCCAGGGGGAAGCAGCCCCATGAACATCCCCACAAACATCCCACACCATCACAGGATGGATTTGGCTCAGCCAGGGAGTCAGTTCATGTGTCCCTGTGTGCTGATCCCTTGGGATTGCCTCCACTTATCTCTGCATGCAGGTTTGCCTTCCTGCAGGCAGGGCACCCTTTATTCCTGATTTCTGCTCAAGGCAGACAAGCTTTATACTAACACAAGGAAAAGATTTGTCTTGCAAGACTTAGGAACCATCTCGTGCTACAACGTTGGAAACAGATGGAAAACAACCATCCAAACTCAAGCTCTCTGCTGAGCCTTCCCACAGCCCCCTGGGACACGGCTCTCCCCATTTTTAGAGTTTCCACTTGTCTTTCCCACCATCTCTGATTGCTGCCAACTTTGAAAGCCTCTAATCTCCTCCTGTGCCTTCAAGACCCAGCCACTCAAGAGGGAACGGGGCAAATCACAGAAGGCAGGACACTCCCTCAAACTTGGGGATTAATAATAAGAAATATCAGTTGTTATTTCCATTTCCCAGATGGGAACAGGACTGAGAGGGATAACAGAGGGTCTGTGCTGGCTGCAGAGGAGGGGTCAGGCACCCAGGCTGCCCCAGGATGTAGGGAAGCTTTTTGAGCCCCCAGTGTTTGCTGCAGGGCCCTCACCATGTTGTCAAGGAAAGGTGCTATGAGAAGCAGCATGTGGAAGAAGCCAACTTTCATTCCCAAGGATTATCTGGCCAGAGCTGCACTTTAATAAAACCTAATGAAGGACAGAGGGAATATTAAGAGTCAACCCAGCCCAGCCCCAGCTGGGCAGTGAGGGCCAGTGCAGCTGCTCTGTAGCAATGATGTTATTTCACTACAGTTATTTTTTTCCACTTTTTCTTGCTGTAGCTGTTCTGGCTGACTAACCCCAGGTGCTCAGCTATACTCAGCTTTACAATTCCAATTAAGCCACTTGTGGTTGGATTTTAGTGCTTCATTTCCCAAACAAGAAAATAACACAGTGAGAGACAGGATCACCAACATGACCCAGGGAAAGAGAAGGGAAGCCAGGACCATGATAGGAGCTTCCTTGGGTTGGTACCTTTAATTCCCAATAATGACATGTGGTTTGGGGGCAGAAAGAGCCTGAAACACAAGGCACAGCCCAGGAACTCCCCATGAGCTGAGGTGCCTGTGGCTGAAGCTGCACCAGGCTTCAAAAGCTCTGACAGCTGCTCGCGGCCATGTGGGTAAAGATAGACTCAAATATTATTTTGGGATGACCCAGAGAGGAAAAAGAACCCACAGGTCAGTGTTCCCACACCAATCCCCTGGGTGATGGCTGAGTTCAGAGGGACTGGTCCCTGATAGGGCTGCCAGCGTGGATGGTGTTTAGTCCTGAGACCAACCCATTAAACAGCAGCCAGCAGCTTTGCTGTGGCTGGGATGTGATTCACACAGTGCCAGGAGCATCGGGGCTGGAGACCAAGTCATGGGCTTGGATATATGTGGAGCACATTGCTGGGGAAGGAGAAAAGACACCTGATGAGCAGAATGGCAATGTGGGGCAGCCCAGTGTCCAAAGGCATCTCTCCCCTCTGCTTCAGAGGGATGTTCAGGCTGAAAACTGTACTTTTTCCACAGTGGAGCTGAGATGCAGAATAAATTCTCCACATGATGAGCTTTAAGGCACAGGCAGTGGCTGCAGCTGGAGGTGCACAGGGGGGGTCACTGCCTTCTCCAGGAAGTCATCCTGCTCTGCTCTGCTCTGCCCTGGGGCAGCTTCACCTGCAATACTGGGGCAGTCTGGGGGGACACAATGGAAGGAAGAGATGGAGCCATTAGAGAGTGTCCAAAGGAGGGAAGGAGGATGGGGAAGGGCCTTGATTTGAAGCCGTGTGAGGACACTGAGGGCACTTGGTGTGTTCAGCTGGAGAAGAGGAGACTGAAGGGAGACCTCACTGCAGTTCCACCTTCCTGGGCAGGGGCAGAGGAGGGACAGGGACTGAGCTCTGCTCTGGGGGGACCAGGGACAGCAGCCAGGGAAGGGCTGGAGCTGTGTCAGGGCAGGCTCAGGTTGGATCTCAGCCAAAGGTTCTTCCCCCCCAGAGGCTGGTTGGGCACTGCCCAGGCTCCCCAGGGCAGTGGGCACAGCCCCAAGGCTGCCAGAGCTCCAGGAGGGTTTGGCTGATCCTCTGGGGCACAGGGGGTGACTCTTGGGGATGGGCCTGTGCAGGGCTGAGGGTTGGACTCAATGATCCTTGTGGGTTCCTTTCAACTCAGCATATCCTGGGATTCTAGGATCCCGTGACCAGTTTGGGTTAGAAGGGACCCTAAAGACCATCTTATTCAAGACCATCCATGCTCTGTCATGAGCAGGGATGCCTTCCATGATTCCAGGTTGCTCCAAGCCCCGTCCAACCTGGCCTTGGACACTTCCAGGGATGGGGCAGCCACAGCTTCTCTGGGCAACCTGTGCCAGGGCCTCCCCACCCTCAGGAAGATGATGCTCATTCACCAAACTCCTTGACAGGAAACCATATTGCAGAACTCACATTCTACAATAAACAAATCTAAACATATTCCTGAATTACTTTTTTTTCCCTAGAAAACACAAATCCTTTTGGCTTTGGAGGCAGCTGACAGCTTCGTATCTGACCATCCCCAATGAAACCAACTCAGGAAGGATGGGGATAAAAACTGAAAACTCTGCCACTAAGCACAGTCTGTTACAGGGAGCTGCTGCTTATTTTTAGTTCTCATAAAATCATAGAAGAGCAGGGTGGAAGGGACCTCAAGGGTGCTCTGGTTCAACCTTTCTTGGCAACAAGCAGCTCTCTGACAGTGTGTTTGATATCTCTGACGTAAATCATGGCTTGTGTACAAACCCAGCCCGGAGATCGGTGCGGCGTGAACCACACTGGGAATCCAGGCAATGCAGGAAGGAGACAAGTTTAATTTAAACTTCAGATGAAAATCCAAAATACTTTAAGAAAAAAATTCAAAACAAACCCCAAAAACCTATGTTCTCACAATTGTCTATTTTTAACAGATTACTTCATTATCTACAAAAAGATGAGGAAAAAAAGCCAAAACAAAAGAGAAGTGTCATGCTAAGATAATTATGCAGCAGATAAAAAGCAATGCTGTGCTATGCCTAGAGACAGGATTTATTTACCATGTTTCTCCACATCCTTCAGTGGGTCCACTCCTGGGGACAGGATAAAAAACATTGGGGTTGCAGGTCCTGATTCCTCAAAGGTTGTTGCAAAATCCAGGGATCTCCCAGCCACATATTTACTGCCCAGCTTTTCTTCTACAAAATCTCTGCCAGAGAGAAAAAAGTTTTGCCATCTACTATTGTTCAGAAAAAGGCAGATTCCACTGCAAATAATCAGTTAATTATCACAGAATCACAGACTCACTAAGGTTTGAAAAGGCTTCAAAGATTATCATCACCCCAGCACCACCACCGTGTTCAGCAAGTGTCCTCATGTCATATCCATTTGTTTTTTTGAACACTTCCAGGGATGGTGACTCCATCACTTCTCTAGGCAACCTGTGCCAGGGCTTGATGACCCTTTAATTCCCAATATCCAACCTAAACCTCTCCTGGGGCAATTTGAGGCCATTTTCTCCGGTCTCATCACTAGGAGCAGAGCCCGACCCCCCCGGCTCCCCCCTCCTGTCAGGGAGTTACAGAGAGTGAGAAGGTCCCCCCTGAGCCTCCTTTTCTCCAGGCTGAGCCCCCCAGCTCCCTCAGCTGCTCCTCACAGCACCTGTGCTTCAATTAGCTGTGATTTTGCTGATTCAAATAAATTAGAAACTACATTAGGAAAATGGGCATGAAATAATTGTAGAGGGGACCTGTAGGCTGGGCTTCCAGCATTATCCCTCAGGAGCAATGCCTGGCACTGTGGGCATGGTGGAATGACACCTGGCACCCCAATTCCTGACAAAAGAAGGGAGGTGAGAAGGGAGAACAGTGGGAGCTGCCAGCCCAGGGCTGCACTGATAAGTGCAATACCAGCACTGGATGATTCTGACTCAGGTATCTCAAGAGAGAAGAAATAAGGTACAGGAACCTGCCAAGTGCTTTGCAATCCGAGCAGCTTTCAGGAGGAAGCACCAACTCACAACAAGTCCAGATGATTCACAAAATTACTTTGATCTGGAAAGCTAAAAGAGAAGATCTCCAAGAATACCTGGTGTGTGCAGCCTTGGCATGAGAGTCACAAGGAAAAACACAATGGAGTGAACAGAAAAAGGTTCAGCTCCACAGCAGCTGCCTGAACAGAAAACAGCGTACAGAGAACATTCCCCCAGAGTGAGCTTCCCACATCACTGCTTTAGCAAAAGAGGATACACTGAACATTCATTCAAAGGTAGGAATGTTGTATTCAAACCCCAGGAATGCTGCTGGAGAGTAGATACATGAGTCAGGCTTTTTGAAGGCAGCCAAATTCCTTCTAAGAGAGCTGAGAGCCTCCTTCAAGGACTGGTGAAAGGCAGCTGGAATAGAAATGCCTAAGGGATTGCAAAAGAAAAAGCTTCCACTTTTTTTGGTACCTCTTTCAAGTAGATTTTTCTGTTCTGGGTCAAGATTTGCTAAATTGCTGCTGGGAAGCTCCAGTTCACAAAATTTAACAAAGTCCATCGGATCCCCAAGAGCCACAACATCCTTGTTTGACATCTCTATGAAATGATGCCTTGGGGACTGGAAAACACACCTGAAGTTGAGTGGGAGGCTTTGAAGTGGGACCCCACGTGCAGGAGAGGGAGGGCTGCCCTCACAGAGCCACAGAATGTGCTGAGCTGGAAGGGTCCCACAAGGATCACCGAGTCCAACCCTCATCCCTGCACAGGCCCATCCCCAGAGTCACCCCCTGTGCCCCAGAGGATCAGCCAAACCCTCCTGCAGCTCTGGCAGCCTTGGGGCTGTGCCCACTGCCCTGGGGAGCCTGGGCAGTGCCCAACCAGCCCTCTGGGGAAGAACCTTTGCCTGAGATCCCACCTGAGCCTGCCCTGACACAGCTCCAGCCATTCCCTGGCTGCTGTCCCTGGTCCCCCCAGAGCAGAGCTCAGTCCCTGCCCCTCCTCTGCCCCTCCTGAGGCAGCTGGAGCTGCAGTGAGGTCTCCCCTCAGGCTCCTCCAGCTGAACACACCAAGTGCCCTCAATGTCCTCCCACGGCTTCAAATCAAGGCCCTTCTCCATCCTCCTTCCCTCCTTTGGACACTCTCTAATGGCTCAATCTCTTCCCTCAGACAGGACTGGAGCAGTCCCCACATGTGGTGTCTTTCAAGCAACGTCTCCACAGGGCTGGGTCACTCTATCACCTACAGGATTTGAGAAATGGTGCCAGCAGTAAAAGCAAATATCCCCAGACAAAGGGCTAGCTGTCAGGTCTCCCATGGTACACAAGCCCCAGCTGCCCACCATCCCATACCCCAGGAGTATATGTCAGTGTGTTAACCACGGCTGGAGGCACCAGCTATCAGAGCCCTCAGTCCTGCTGCTCTGTTTCCAAGGTCTGTCCCTACTAAGGCAGAAGTACCAGTGCCTTTGAAAGGACTTCACGATGACCAAGTCATACCTTGCCCGTGGCTGCTGGACTGGTCTGACCCCATCATGGATGTGGAAGAGGGGGAGCACAAGGTCTTGTAAGAGGCTTTTTGCTGATGTTCTTCACTAAGATTGGGGGATGAAACAGGTATTTACAGTGGAAAATCCTTCTTGAGGAAATGATGGTTCCTGGTGCAGTGCTGGCACCGAAGCTCTAAGGAATGAGCTGGGGTAAGAGTGCTTTCTCCTGACGACTCCTTAGGCTCAGGGAAGGAAACAGACTCTGCAAATATCCCAGAGATCTGCTGTGAAGGGAGGCTGAAAAACCCAACTTCCTAGGCAGAGAAATGTAAGAAGCCTGTACAGAGGTGGATCATTTTAAATCCCAAAGAACTTCCTACACTGTCACCATGGAGCTGGCACATATGACATGGGACTTAGGGGGTCTTAAACCTTTATGAACAGCAGCTGAAAATGATGTAAGGCACATAAAATATCTCTGTCCACATGTGTTTAGGTTACCAAGTTACTCCTTGACTCCTAAAACGCATTCAAGTACTTGTCAAGACCCCTGGAGAGTGAAGCCAGGTAAAACCTGGAAAGCGAATTTAGTAGAGCACTACAAGAATTAGAGAGTTAAACACCAAATGCAGGCCTTAAGCAAAGGCATAGAGAACTTAGTGTTAAGAAATAGTGGAGGCAATAAATTCATTAGAATACAGAACACTCTGACATGAAAGAACATAAGCGTGGACAGAAAGAACTAAAAATGTTAGCACACACAAAAAAGGACATAAAGAAGGGAAACAAAAGGAGATAAGAAAAGAGATGAGCCAAGAAATCAGGAACTTCTGCCAGACACTGGAAATCCCTGCCAAAGGCACAAGGAAACTATCCAAATTAGGGAAGGTTCAAAAGTTTATGAAGATGATGGTGAAAGGACACAGAGTTCATGATGATGAAGAACAGGATCGACCACCAAAGTTCTCCCCAAATTAGAGACCACGCCTCAAACTCCGCCTCAACTCCGCCTGTTATGAATATTAAAAGTAGATGTTGCAATATAATGAATATTCATAAAATGTGATGTAATTGCTTACCAAAAAGTGTATAAAAAGCTCAGTTGTAAGTTACTGGAGCAGAGTAGGTTGTCCAGGGCGACCTGGTTGCTCCCCGGCCATAAATACATACCTCCTGCTTATAGACTGAAAATTCTGCCTCTGAGCAGTTCCTCCGTGCCTTCTTTGGGGCACTAATTGGCATCAAGAGACAGGAAGGTTTGGACTATTCATGATGTTCATTGATCACCAGTGAGGCATTGAATGTTGGCAGATTGATATATTGATATACTGACTGATATAATTGATAACAGAAGGAAGAGATCTGCAAGTTGAGAACGGCAAAACACCCTCTGGGATCCAATGGCATTGCAGGTTTCTAAACTGGATGAATTTATTAACACACACAGTCTTGAACCACCACTGGCTGCAGGAGCGATGTGGAGGGTGAAGTCATAGAATCATAGAATCATAGAATATTAGAATCAGCTGGGTTGGAAGGGACCTCTGAGATCATCAAGTCCAACCCTTGATCCAACCCCACCGTGGTGACCAGCCCATGGCACTGATGCCACATCCAGTCTCACCTTAAAAACCTCCAGGGATGGAGAATCCACCCCCTCCCTGGGCAGCCCATTCCAAGGGCTGAGCACTCTCCCTGGAAAAAATTTCTTCCTAATATCCAACCTAAACCTCCCCTGGCACAGCTGAAGACCCAGCCCTCTTGTCTTGCTGATGGTTGCCTGGGAAAAGAGACCAATCCCCCCTGGCTCCCCCCTCCTGTCAGGGAGTTGTAGAGAGTGAGGAGGTCTCCCCTGAGCCTCCTCCTCTTCAGGCTCAACAACAGCAGCTCCCTCAGCCTCTCCTTACAACTCTTGTGCTCCAGTCCCTTCCCCAACCTCGTTGCTCTCCTCTGGACCTGCTCCAGCCCCTCCATGTCCTTCCTGAGCTGAGGGCCCAGAGCTGGACACAGCACTCCAGGGGTGGCCTCACCAGCACTGAGTCCATGGCAAGAATCACTTCCCTGGACCTGTTGGCCACCCTGTTCCTGGTCCAGGCCAGGATCCATTGGCCCTCTTGGCCACCTGGGCACACTCTGGCTCCTGTTCAGCTTCCTGCCAATCCACACTCTCAGCTCCCTTCCTGCCTGGCTGCTCTCCAGCCACTCTGTCCCCAGCCCGTGGGGTTGCTGGGGGTTGCTGTGGCCAAAGTGCAGGACCCGGCCCTTGGCCTGGTTGAACCTCATCCCCTTGGAATCAGCCCAGCTCTCCCTCTGCTGAGCCCTCCTGCCTTCCAGTTGATTGACACTCCCCCCCAACTTAGTGTCATCTGCAAATTTGCTGATGGTGGACTCAACCCCCTCATCTAAATCATCAATAAAGATATTTCAAGAAGAATTTTAGTCCCATCGCCCAAGTCTTGGGGAAGGTGCTGTGAATTGTTACTGTTTGCACATATTTGTGTTCTCACTTACTCCTAGATAAGAAACAAAACATAAAACTCATCTAAATACTCCTGTGCAAAGAGAAAAGCTTGACGTGCCCAGATCCTAAAAACATCCAAGCTTTTGAACTGGATTCCCTTTTCATAAAAGAGAGATATGAAAGGGGCTGAAATTTGATGTTCCAGTTATTTCCGAGCTGTGTGAGTAAGAAGGAAATAAATTAAACTTGCTTAATTAAATATGCACTTAAAATTTCAGAAAAACATGAGCTTATTTTACCCAAGCTAAACAACCAATATTTCCAGCTGAGAGACACATGGAGAATCCAGTCATAAGAGTAAGACATGAAAAAGATGGTTCAGATTATTATGATTATGATAAATTATAGTATTTATGCTAGTAAAACATAATAACATTGACCATAGGGAGATTTCACTCAGTCTTGTCTGCATTTTCCTGTGAACTCTAAAGCACAAAGAGATCTAGTTCATACACTGAGTAATAACCCTGCTACACTCCCATGCCATGTGGTGCAGTAATATAAACTATTTGAGAGGCAGGAGCATGAGACATCCGAGAAATGTCAAAACACTGACTACCAGGACAGAGGAGGAAAAAACAGCTCCTACTGGAGTGAAAGACCTTTAGTTTCTCCTGGAACAAGTGTGTTGCTTTTGCATACCTTGGGGAAGTTTAGCCTTGCCTAGTTACCTCCACTACATAATTTACAGCTACAAGATTCAGAACCAGCAGCACATAAATTTTGCACTTTACAGGGGAAAAAAAAAAACAAGGGAAAACGTCTCTAAGACTTTCCTTTACTTCTACACTTTATTCTGTTGTCTAAGGCACAGCCAAAAAGGAACTAAAATCAATGTTATTGAACTCTAAACCATGTGTTGATCACCCAAAGACTCCAGTAGATGTGTAACACCTGTAAGGTGATGCTCATTTCTGACTTGGCCTCTCTGCTCCTCACCCATTGCCAGTGACACTGCCCCATCCTACTGCTGATCTGGAGGTGAGATCCCCTAAACAAGAAATTGCAAATGAATGATATGGTTGTTGATTGTCTTACAGAGTTCAGAGATCATGGAATCACAGAACAATTCTGAGTGTCCAAAGGAAGGAATGAAGATGGGGAAGGGCTTTGATCTGAAGCCGTGTGAGGACACTGAGGGCACTTGATGTGTTCAGCTGGAGGAGACTGAGGGGAGACCTCACTGCAGTTCCACCTTCCTGGGCAGGGGCAGAGGAGGGGCAGGGACTGAGCTCTGCTCTGGGGGGACCAGGGACAGCAGCCAGGCAATGGCTGGAGCTGTGTCAGGGCAGGCTCAGGGTGGATCTCAGGCAAAGGTTCTTCCCCCAGAGGCTGGTTGGGCACTGCCCAGGCTCCCCAGGGCAGTGGGCACAGCCCCAAGGCTGCCAGAGCTCCAGGAGGGTTTGGCTGATCCTCTGGGGCACAGGGAATGGGCCTGTGCATGGCCAGGAGTTGGACTGGATGATCCTTGTGGCTCTCTTCCAACTCAGCACATTCTGTGATTTTGGGATTCTGTGAACAGTTTGGGTTGGAAGGGATCTAAAAGCTCATCTTATTCCACTCCCTGCCAAGGGCAGGGACACCTTCCATTAGCCCAGGTTACTCCAAGAGCCATCAAACCTGGCCTTGAACACTTCCAGGGATGGGGCAGCCACAGCTTCTCTGGGCAACCTGTGCCAGGGCCTCCCCACCCTCAGGAAGATGATGCTCATTCACCAGACTCCTTGACAGGAATCATATTGCACAATCAACCATACTGCAAAACTCACATTCTATAATAAACAAACCTAAACATAGTCCTGAATTACTCGTGTTCCCCAGAAAGCAACAATCCTGAGTTTCCCTCCCTGGGCAGGAGGAGCCCCGGGGCAGTGCTGTCCCACCTGAGGGCACAGGTGACGCGGTCGGGCCGCAGGGCCCTCAGGATGCACAGGCGCTGCAGGGACGACTTGTTCTTCCACTCCTGGGGGAACTTCTCCCTCTCAGGACACTCAGATTCAATAAATTTCTTCCACCTTTTTGCAGACCCTTCGATATCCCGATCCAGGTTTCTGAATTCCTCCATGGATGAGAGAGCCTGGAAAAAATCAAGGGAGGTCAAGAAGAACAATCCTACTTGCCTCTAAATTGTTTAACTAACATTAAGGACTGCTCATGTTTTCCTCCACCAGAAGGGTCAGAGCTGGAGTCTCGGAAGCACAATCAGAAACCCACCAGGACCCCAGAAGCACAGAATATGCTGAGTGGGAAGGAACCCACAAGAGTCCATGCCTGAGACCAGACTTTGACCATTCTCCTTCTCCCAACTCTGTGGTCAGCACACGATCAGAGGACCAGGAATAAACACAGCCCATTTGCAAGGCCACAGGGCAGGAGGACTGAGGGCTTTTTCATTCTTGTAGAAGGCCTTCTCTCTAGGCTGCCCTCAGAACATCAACTCTAAAGTCAGGCAGTACCTAACATGGCCCTGCCTGGCACCCTCACCCACATCTCTGCAGTGCCCCTCCCCAGCCAGGGCAGCCACACACATTATCCAGGCCCCTGCCTGGCACCACAGACATGGATGCTTGGAAAGGACAGCACAGGAAAGGAGGAAACATTCTGGCATCAACTACCATGTAGTCCTCCATTTCCCAGAGAGCAAATAAATCTCCTCTTCTGTTTGGAAACCAGATCTGAAGAATCTCAGCTGACAAGCACTTCTGAGTGACTGTTATCCCAGAAATCCCTGATTTGGATGGGAGCTGGAAATTCAGAGCCCATGTCTGGAAGAAGAGCATATTGCTGACATTCCCGTGAGCTGCACATCAACAATCTCCTCATTGCTTCCACAGAAACAAGGAGAATTGTGCAGCAAAATCCACAAGAGCTGATGGAAAATGTGCTTTGGTATCCAGGGTGCTCAGCATCCAAAGCTAAACAGACTCAAACATACCTAGCTCACCAAAACCATATTTTTAAAGGATTTCACAGTTGGAATATTAATTATCTTTATAGAATCACAGAATGGTTTGGGTTGGAAGGGACCTTAAAGACCATCCCACTCCAACTCCCTGCCATGAGTCGGGTCATCTCTATCCAGTTGTTTTTCTCTCCCTGTTCCCCATGCACATCCCTCTCTATCTGCATAGTCTGGTGCACACACTCTGTGACACCAAGGCACTGAGCCTTCCCCACACAGCCCTGGTGACCACAAGGCCAGGAATCCCAACAAACACAGTGAAACCAAATCCTCAGGTTTATATTTGCCAAACACACACAGCGATTAAGTTACTCAGTGCTACAAGTCTGCAGCAGAAACAGGCAGCTGAAGAATGCCCCCAAAACCAGCTGAGCAAGGCAGTCAATAAATTATAAGTTATTACAACGAAAATTAGTTAGTTAGATTTTGTAGTTAGAAAGTGGTAACTATAAATGTTATGCAGAAGTACAGAATCCAATTCTCTCTCATACAAGTGGTGGCAGAACACACTGCACGGCTCAGAAGGTTCTTCTGGATTTCAAGTAAAATTCTCACTGAAACAAACATCTTCAGAGTGGTTTGCATAATCCAAAGCTGCGAGTGGACAAGTGAAGGACAAAAGATAGTGACTGAGCTGTTTTCTACAGGAACAGAAGGGCACAGTCAGAGAGAAGCAGAAGCTTCTCGATGGGCAGAGGTGTCCCACACCCCCAGTGCTCCAGCTCACAGCCCATACAGCTTCAGATGAGAGCTCCTGAAAAAATGCCGGTGTCACACCTTGCTCAGATCAACTGAACAACCACAGCCTTGCACAGGGCTCTGAAAGGCACCCAAGTGCCCTGGCAGAGGTGTGAGAGATGGCCTTGCATACGCTGCTCTTGCAAACCAGGCAGAACACACTGAAGGTCACCCTGCTTTAAAAAAACCCTGCTTTTCCTCTAGAAGAGGGTTCCCAATGAGAAGACAAGCACTGTAAAATTTGGTCTTTCTAACAGATTGAATTTAGTCACAGAAGAGTGAAGAGAGAGAAGGAAGAAGTCAGAAAAAGGGGCTTCTGATAACAAATGAGTTCATGTTTTTAGCAGTGAATTCATAGATTCACAAAATGGTTTGGGTTGGAAGGGACCTTCAAGATCATCTTGTTCCAATTCTCTGCCAGAGACACCTTCCACTATCCCAGGTTGCTCCAAACCCTGTCCAACCTGGCCTTGAACACTGCCAGGGATGGGGCAGCCACAGTTTCTCTGGGCAACCTGTTTCCAGGTAGAATGTCTGCAGACAAAGAGGTTGCAGAGCTGTTCCCAGTGGGTGCCATGGCCCAGGACATTTGCTGTATCTCCACTCCCATCACCAGCAATGGTTGGAAGAAATCTCAGGAGGGGTCCAGGCCACGCTGGGCTGGGCCTGTGGCCAGTGATAGAGAGAGGGACAGTCATGTCCTTGTCTACCAAAATGCTGCCCTCCAAGATGACATTGTCTCAGCCCCTCTGGATGCTCTGCTCTAGACCTGCACTGTCCTTACAGTGAAGAAGAGAATTCACCTTTTCATATGTTCGAGCAGAATCTCCCAACCTGCAGTTTGCCGTGGTTGACACCACTTTCACCATTAAACCACGTCCTCAAGTGCCACATCCACATGTTTCTGAACCCTTCCAGGGATGGTGACTCCACCACGTCCCTGGGCAGCCTGTTCCAGGGCTTGATAACCCTCTAATTGATTTTTTTCTCCCCTAATATTCAATATAAATCTCCCCTGGTGCAACTCTTGTCCTGTCACTTGTTACCTGGGAGAAGAGACTGACCCCCACCTGGCTACAACCATTATTACACTGCCCAAAACATGGAGAGTTTGGCTCTGTCCTCTCATAGTTGGACAAACCTCCCCACCTTTCCTCACTCCTGTGCTCCAGGGCCAGAGAAGAACTTGGAGGTATCACCAAAAATGCTTCTGCAACAAATCAAGCCTTGCCCAAAGGCACTATTCCATCAGTACCTCCACCAAAGGCACAGAGTGTTTGCAGTGCTACAGCTCAGACTGACTCAGCCTGGCACTGCCCATTCCCATGCCAAGCTCCCAGAGAACTGGAGAATGTAGTCGGGAAGAGTGTGGGAAAAACAGTGATTCAACAGCTGTTTTTTCCAAGTGAGGATCAGCACTAACATGGAGAAATGTCAGATGAACTTGCTCCAAATCTAGTGCCTTACCCTGCTTTCTGTGAAAAATCAGAAACCAGAGCACAGAACAGGAGAAACTGAAATTCCCAGGAATGATGGAATATTCTGATCTGCCAAGCCCTGGTCCTTGCAGCAATAAATGCACCTCTCAGAGCAGAGCACAACACAATGGTAAATGTTGAATTCAGTGGATTCTCAGTGCAAGTGCTTATATAAAACATCACTGTCGACTTTTGACGTGATTCATTTAAAATATCTCTTCAGAACTTTGGCTGCTGCTGCTTCGAGAAGTCTCTTGGTTGATGTTAACAAGGGAGACTCCAAAAAATTGCTTTTTTCTTATCAAATGACAGACATGTAATCAGGGATGATAGTATCCCTCTCTCCCTGAACAACACGTTGCAAAATCAAGAAAGCTCTAATTGCAAGTAAAAAGTCTGTATTATAGAAATTAACACTAAAATTGTCATTAGTCAACAATTTTAATTGCATTTATTAAGAGTGATGGTATTAATAAGAGATGCTGCTATTTAAAAGCCAGTGGAGTGAAAGCTATCTCAATCTGTGAATATTAATTGCTTTTCAATACCTCTGCTGGGAATTTTTCCAGGAAACTTAGTCCAACACTGACACATCACTGTTTCCAAGTAGGAATGGCACGTTGGGGCAGCAGATGGGAACCTGTGCAATGTGGCTATTTTTGTCCACATAATGAACAGTACATTTGTCACTTAGAGTTGTCATGGAAATTGAGAGAGACAAAAAACATTGGACAAAATGAAATATGATCCAAAGGACTGGAGGACTCCATTCCTGCCTTTGCAACCCACTCCAAGATCATCTCTGATGGCTGGAAGCAGGAGGGGTTTGAGTTTATATCTCAAAATGAGACTTTGCCAGCAAAATAGGGCTCTTCACACCATCAGGGCAAGGAGCATTGTTTTCTCAGAGAAAATGGGTTTTCATTCATTGAATCACAGACAAGTTGCTTTGTCACTTCAGGTTTCCTTGACAGTTTCTCTCTGTCAGAACCAGTTAATTTGGAGCTGGGGCAGCAGCAGCTCTGTGGGTTCACACCTTCACACATGCAAAGTTCTCTCATTCTCCCACAGCTGGAGGGAACACAACATTGGCTTCGGGACAGGAATCCTGGTTTCCATCACAGAGCAACACAGGAGGGTCCCTGACACACAGCCCTGAGTCAGGGAAGTGCCACAGGGAACAGGGATCTTTGGAAAGACACACCTGGGGGGGACAAGGAGGAGATGAAACCCTCAGAACCCAGAGCATGGGCTGAGGCTTTAGAGAAAAGAACAACTCCAAGGTTGCTACTCCACACAAGTTATTTCCTTGTGCCAGACACAGCACAACAAGGTTTTGTAAATTTATTGGAAAAAAATGCTTGCTCTTGTCACTGAAGGGAACTGTTCTAAGGACACCATCTGGTCAAACTGGCCTCAAGTTAAGGTGTTGCATCATAATTTCTTAAAAAATCCGAATAAATAATTATATTATTTCCATATTTTCTTCTCTTTGGCTCTAAAGGAATTTATTCCTTAAAAAAAAAATTGCCTTGTATTTTACAATATATCCATATTTCAAACCCTCTGCCCCAGAGCCATAGGACTGGAGAACAGCTCTGGGGCAAGGCAGGACAAAATCACCTCATTGCTGTGCCCTGAACAGCACACATGCACAAAGAGCATGGAAAATAATCCAGAGCAAGTAAAACCAGTGCTGCCAGAACACTCCTAACATCAACTTACTTCCTCAGCAGCCATAAGACTGGTTTTTAAAAGAAGTAATGAAATTGAAATAAAGGAATGTGAGGGGGTTTGTAAAAGCTATCCTTAATTTTGAGGCTTCAGGTTATACCTGGTCTGCTTTTTCGGTCTTGGTCCCTTGTATATCTTGCTTTTCTTTTAAAAAATTACCCCTCT